TCAATTCTTGGAACTTTCAAATTTTTGTTTTTTAAATTTTCCTATTTATCAACTTACTGGGATTTCAATGTTTTGATTTTTTGATTTCTCGATTTTTTAATTTTTAGTTTTTGATACGATTTTTTTTTTAATTTTCAGTTTTTCAATTTATTAACTTTACGATACTTCAGTTTTGCTCGATTTCGATTTCTCAATTTTTCGACATATTATTGTTGGGATTTTTCAATTTATCGATCCTTGGATTTCTCGATTCTTCATATTTTCGGTTTCTCGAATTTCTTCATTTTTCGATTTTTCAATTTCGATGTTTCAGTTTTACGATTTTTAATTTTTTTTATTTTTCAGTTTTCAATTTTTGACGTTTCTAAATTTTTCGATTTCTCAATTTTTCGATTAACTGATTTTTTGATTTTCCCATTTCTCTATTTCTTGATTTTTCAATTCTTTCTTCAATTGTGATTTTTCAATTTTTCGATTTCTGAATTTTTCAATGTTTCAGTTTTGGATTTTTTCACTTTTCCGATTCTTCAATTTTCTTTCCATTTTTCAGTTTTTCAAGATTTCAGTTTTGAATTTTTTCACTTTTTCGATTTTTCAATTTCCCTTCCATTTTTCAGTTTTTCAGTATTTCAGTTCTGGAATTTTGCAATGTTTCGGTTCCTCAATTTTTCCATTTTTTGACGTTTCGATTTCTCGGTTTTTCAATTTTTCGATAGGTATTTTAATTTTTCAATATTTAAGTTCTAGATTTTCCGTTAGTTTTTTTGCTTTCCTTGATGTTTTGATTTCTCGATTATTCGATTTTTCAAGTTCTCGGTTTAGATTTTTTGGCTTTCCAATTCTTCGATTTTTAAATTGTTTAGTTTTTAGATCGTTCAATTTATAATGTTTCAATTTTTCAATTATTAACTTTTCGATTTTTCAATTTTGGTCTAATTTGATTTCTTAATTTTTTGATTTTTCGGCTCCTCTACTGTTGATGTTTTGATTTCTCGATGTTTCAGTTTTTGAACATTCCGATGTTTCGATTTTTCGACTTTTTGGCTTTTCGAGTGTTCAATTTTTTGATTTTTGTATTTTAGATTTTTGTTTTTTTGATTTTTTTATTGTTTCGATTTCCCAATTCTTCAATTTTTCGAATTTTTAAATTTTTGATTTTTCTTTTCCTTTATTTCACAATTTTTGGATTTTTTAAATTTTACATTTTTCGATTTTACTATTTTTTGATGCTTGGATTTCTCAATTTTTCAAGTTTTCAATACTCATTTTTTCAGGATTTGAATATTGAGAACTTTTCAATTTCTGTATTTTCAATTTTCAGATATTTTAATATTTTGGTTTTTTAATGTTTCGATTTTTGGGTGTTTTGATTTTTCGATTTTTCTATTTTAAGTATATTTTATTTTTCAATTTGCGCCTTCTGCGGGAGTATTATTTGTTGTGCTGCATTTGACGGGCGAGGGAAGTTCTGTCGAAATAACCTTCGACCAATTTTTATACTTAGCACGTAGGGTTCTTCTAAGCATTCCTTATTTAACCGAACAGTTGTTAATTTAACTAAGCAGCTATTATTCCACCAAGCATATATTATTTTTAGTGAGAATTTATTTTTTAACTGAGCATTTATTATATAACTTAGCATTTATCATTTTTACCGAGCAAAAATACAGAGCGTTTAAAAATAGAACTGTGCATAATTTGTTCCTTTATCTAAATAACAAGAAAACGGTATTAATAATACATTTAGGCGAATAAAGTAATAGACGGGGTTGATAAGCCTTGTTTGCTCTACAGTGTCTAATTTGTGTTTGAATAATATAATAATTATGTCGAATATTAAAATTAATATGTCAAAAGAATACGAGAAATGATTATTCTGTGCTGAAGGTATGTTGTGGGCCGCCTGTCATAAATTATATTATGCTTCATTATCGGCTTACGATGTTTTTATGACCCACGTCCGGTAGTCGTCTATCCCAGCGCGTCAGGTAGATTTAAAGAAGAATTGCTGGTTGCGTTTAAGGCAACAAATGGCGCCAAATTCAAACTTGTCTCTCGCCTAGCGTTCCCCGCGTTCCCCCTTAAGGGAACGACAAACGGATGTTATAATTTTTCTTTAGAGACAATAATTTAAAAAAATTCAGGTTATTCCGTAGGGCATTTCTGAGCTCGGATTACTAACCAGAAGGTTAAAATTAGTAACAAATACAGCAATTTCCATGAATCTCTGTTGTAGCGTTTAAACTAATGTTTAAACCGAAATAATTTTAGGAAATGCAATCTACATAAACAAGATAAAAATGCCTGTATGAGTAACTGAAGAGATATCTAAATGAAACAATTTCCTTATTCATTTTGTTAAAATTAAATAAATACGCACCCAAAAATATACACAAAACAAGTACTATTTGGATTCTAAATTCACATTTTAGTAGGTTTTATCCTAAGTCGATGGTATTAGTAGAGGAAGAGGCTGTATTATCTTAAATAATGGATTCTAATTAAGCGTTATAAACAAAGACGGGAAATCAGTACTTCTATATTTCCTTAAGCCATATATTTAAAATTCTCAATTACCACTTGACAGTTAGCTCATTACTTTGATAGCGTGAACCAAAAAGTTGTAAATTTATTTCAGCCGATTTATTTGATTTTCAATTTGAGAAGCCCATTATCGTCGTTATAGTATTTTTCAAGTAGCGGAAAAAATCACTTGTAAATAATATTAGATGATCCATGATAAAATTGAGTAAATATTATAGATATAAACTTGATTTCATAAACTTTTATCATTTTAAATAAATTTCAATGCCACTTGTATCTATACTTTTCCTCTGTTATGTAAGTCTATAATGTGCTATCTTCGTTTTATTGCTACATTTGGTGACTGGTGCTGCAACCAGTAATACACGTGTTTTTAAATTTGCTATGTTGGTACATTTTAGGATGCACTACATAGCTGAGAAGATACAATATATTATTTATTTTGCCTTTATTTTTATTTGAAATTGAAAACATACAAAAAATAGAAATAGGGTAAAAAATATGGACTGATATACTTATTTATAATAGAATAACATTTTGTACACATGCATTTTTTCTTATTTGTTTAAATTTTATCTTTCAAACTGATATCGCTCTAAGCTTTTAATATCTCTTTTTTATCCTTAAATTAATAATTCTAATATACAAAATTCTCGTGTCACAGTGTTTATAACCAAACTCTACCGAAACGGCTTGACCGATTTTTATGAAATTTTTTGTGGATATTCGGTAGGTCTGAGAATAGGTAGTAAACTATTTTTTATACCCCTGAGTGATAAGGGTGGCCCACCTTTTTTTTTTTTTTGACAAAATTTTTAACGATTTAGTATCTTTATTTTCATCCACAGATGCGCAATAGGGTTGCAAGATGGCTGTTGAATATAATCATTTTATGTATAATTTATAATTGAATTTAATTATAATTTATTTATTTATTTTAATTTAATTTTTTATTTAACTATCAAAATATTCACTATATAGCAATAATTTATATGGCAAAACGTTTTGCCGGGTCAGCTAGTTACTTATATAAACACTAATTCCTCATTTTCATAGTCATCAGAGCTCAGTTTTAACTATGATCATGAAGTGTATCCTTCAAGAGCATTCATTAATTAGCCACTCCTCTTAATCATTCATCAGTTGTTCTCAATCTCAGGTTCGAAAAATGTAAATAAACACACAACCACAGAGCTAATATTTCTTACAGAACATCTCTTACAAAACTTTCAAAACGACTAAACATTTACATTCATTTAACGGACCAGTAAAAAGTAAATTTACTTGTGTGAACCCAATTCTTATCTTAAACAGACAATATAGCCAGACAAACTTTAAACATGTAATTCTACGAGATTGCTCAATTTTTATTCCGAAACAGGAATACTACACTTTATCAGGCAAATAATGCAGAAGAGCTTTATCACGTTTATGACGTAGTCTTGGTCGACGTCTTATCCTAGGTAAACCATTATCACATAATATATCCCGGATAACCGCAATGTAATCTGCATTTTGTGCCACATGTGGTGCATTTTTGGCAGCGGAAAAGTATAGGTATACAAAACATTATGAAGAAAATATTTAACACATCATTGACAAAAAATCGGTCTAAAAAAACAGTTTTGGGGTGACTGACGTAATGATTTTCACTTTTTGTTGGTCTCCAAATTGTTGTTGAACTTAGCTTTCAACATAGAGCAGTCGCCAATAAGGAAACTATCGCTTGGGAAAGAAAATGTGAGACTCGCGGTCTTAGCAAAACATGAATAAGCCACCTACAGGTGTTTTTAAGTTGAAAATGTCACGTAATGGTAACTGATATTAATAAATCAACGGATAAACAATTTCTCAACAAATTTTCCTTTATGGTTTCCGCCGGTATTCACTTATTTCAAATGACGCTTCGCACACTACATTAATAACTATATCCCACCATTATCAAATAAAACGTACATCGTAAGTGGGTGTAAATAAACCCAACTACCTTTATCGACCCACAGCAATCGAAAGTTGTTATATTCCTTCCAAACTTGCGTTGGCGACGCGAAATAGGACATGGTAATAATACACACATATACGTACACAAGTGCATTCTTCCATCCAATTCAATTATTATTAATGTATGCATTCCATTGATAAACCAAACTAATTTAGCTGCAAAGCACCAAGCAACCGCCCGTGTCCGGTTTTCCTAAACCGCCTCGTACAAATTTACAAATTCCACGCTCCCATATATGGAGATTTAAAAATCGTAAACACAAATGGGAGAATGAATAATGAACCCATTCATGAGTGTTTAATTACAAGAATTGTAACACTTTGCGCACGTTCGAGTCACTTCCTTATGGGCCGTTAATGACGCGCGAAGTTCTTATCAGTAATCATTAAAAAATAAACTTTTGACGTCCAACACATTGTTGCGAGTGTTACGCTGTTGTGCATCCGTTGTTCGTTAAAATTACGAGTACCCCAGGTGAGTGTCCGCCGCTCCGCCACTGGTGAAAACACTACCGTCAGGGGGCGCCACTTCTGCACCAGTCGAAATCTATCCAAGTGAATTGGGCGTGTTTTGCAAAACGTTCTAAATTAATGTGTTTTTTACCGAAATGAAGTGACTGAATTTTGACGAAAAGTAAGTACTTTGTTTTTAATTAGGCTCAGTTTGGTTATGTGCGAGTTTGACGGGTCTAAGACGTGCCACAACCGCACGGTGCCCCTTTAAAATTGCATCTGTTTTGGTTGGATCCACTCCTGATAAAAATAATTTCTTATCTAGGCTTAATTGTTTACTAAAACATTGATACGGGTGCATTTGACCTAATTTGCGCGTTTCGTGGGTGAAAATTGCCGCTTTTCCCTCTGCGCCTTGTTTGGCATCGAATGTAAATAAAACTCAGTGGGCTTTGAGTTTGACAGATGGATTCGACATTGATTTTCTTACGAATTCAATTCGTTAATTGATTTGTGTGGTTTTAATTGGAGATCGTTGGCTTCTTAAATTTCGATCGCGTCAATTTTCGTGTTTTCTTTTACTAATCGATAGTTCTGACGTTCGCTTTATTTATATTCTGTTACACCGAGGCCTGTGGGATAAGGGTGCCAGTGGCGTAGGCGTTCCAAAGGGCTCTCTTGACTCACGTTTTTCCAATTTGGAATTTTGCGGTTATCATTACTTCCGCTTGACTAACGAACGTTTCAGAGGAAAACCAGAGGAAGATAAGCGCGCTGTAAACATTTGCCGATATTGTGAGTAAATAGAAATGTATTTAACCTTTCAAGGATAGGCAATTATTTCATCTAAATCCCGCCAAAAATCAATACCGGCCAACCTACGAGGATTACCGTTTAGGCGAATAATAAAAGCGATTAAGAAACCCTGACAGCTTCTTGTGAGAGATAAAAAGTTACTGGAAGAAGGCCAGGAATAAAATGGAGTTTGTTCATCTACATTTTTTTATTGATTTACGGCTTTCCCCACGATTTAGACCGGCCTCCAGTGAAAAATGCCAGGATTTTCGACTACACCGATTGCCTAGAATAGAAAATTGATGGAAACTTGTCCATCGACACAAATTGGAAATTTCACAGTCATAAAAATAAAACTGGAACAATATCGCAAGAGTCGGATTGATGAGCCCGTCATTTTTGTTGTTTCAGTAAATGAGGTCTGACGTGAGCACTCCATTCCCATATAAGTCCTGGTGGAAGTCGCCTAGACCTAGAAACAAGACGTTCCCCAATTTCGTTTCAATCATAAAATTATTGTAATCAGACACAATTCATCACTGGAAATAGTGTAATAGTCTAATTGGACTATTTCTGAACATGAATCAGGGCCAATATACAAACACGGGATTGCTGCCAAGCCATAAGAATTAAACCCGTCTCGTTTTTTCCGCTAGTTGAACAATTTTCATCAAATTTCGTATTGTCGAGAAGTTTTTCCCCGACTTAAGCGACAGAACCGCCTACAAATTGGCTCATTAAAGTGAAGCTGAGCACAGTCGACACTCTCTAATTACATAATTGAATGGCATGCATTTTTATATATTCGTATTTTGTGAGGAACGAGTCCCGCAAACCCATTACCGACGACGTATTCGAAGAATTTCTTAATCGTTGAGATGTTTAATTATACCTGATGAGTCGAGCAGTTAACCTGGGAGTTAATACCGAAAATAAACATACTCCGGCTTCCGGTGTCACAAATCGGTGTGTGGATGATACAAGGAAAACAACTGTGTTACATCAGACGTGGGGCTGTTACATGCTGTCCTAACATTTGGAACTCGTGCACTACTGCCTGCAGCGGGATTCATAAAGTTTGTTATTGATCACAAAATTGAAAGTTCCAACTTGCTCACTCCTTAAAATAGCGCTTCCGTGGAGTCATACTCTGTTTTAATAGTTTTTGGTATTTCTGAACAATTAAACTTTGAAGATGTAATTCTACAAGGTGTGTCAAGATTTTAATGTTTTGGAACAGAGTTACTGTTGATTTTGTGTATGAACTGTTATCACACCATTAATACAGATATTTCCCTATTTGTAATGTTTGTTATTACAGATGGGAAAGCCCTGTAATCTGCCAATCACAAAATTTATGGCCAATCTGTCAACAGTACCTCGCGATGGAATTAAAGCTGGATTTCCTTTTTGACGAAATCGTCCAAATTTTATTTGTATTGCCGTTTTTAGGAAAGTGGTTCAATTTTAACTGTTTTAGTTCTTCATATGAATGAGGTGAACGTTCTAGTAGATAAACACAACAAATTAGTAAATTTTAATTGCTTTAACAGTAAATTCAATGTGATTTACTTACTAAAATATATTTCCGCTTTAGTGACCTTTGTCTTTACAAAAAAAAAATAGTCTAAAACTCTTTAAATAGAACTTTCCTTCTTCTTGGATTCTTAAACCAAATAAACAAGCATGACCAGAGACAAATAACCACAGTACTGTGTATCTAGATTTCGAAAAAAGTAGCTAAACCGTTTTTCATTTAATCGACAAAATAGATTGCTTCGTATATTAATTTTTTGAGACATTTTGTGTCACTATTTCTCAAAAATTGAACTGTGTAAAGAAATTACATACAGAGAAACATGATATTCTCGCGATTTCAAATGAGATTTATTTCGCAAAATTTTGAGCTGACGTGGTCACATTTTTGGCGAAGATGAACAAACAAATTCTAGTGAGCATTTTACGGTTTACAGGATACACTTAAAATAATTCTTCAATTTCACGACAATCTGTCCAGTAGTTTCGAAATTACTTGTCTAATAAAATCGACTAAAAAACTACACCACAGTAGAAAATACAGGAGCTACCTTAATTCTTCGTTTTATATTTGTTTTTTTTTTCTTCCCGAGCGTAAGTTGAAGAAGTATTGCATTCGGGTTCATCCATCCAAGGACAACTTTCTTATTTTCTTAACGTCTTATGACCCCCAGATTATGAAAAAATAGGTTTCCTCTCTTCGTCTGTCTACCTGCCGCCTGTGTCGATATTTATTGGACGCATAATGTCCAAAAACCACTGAACAACAACCAACCTTTAAATCGTATTTAAATTTTATAAAATAACATACTGGTGATTTATTAATCTGCTTTGATTTTATAGCTGCAGCATCCAGATTTTCGAAAAAAAAAAATATAATAAACTTTTACACCTTTCGTAAGACTAACGCAAACATCGCGGGTTCGATCCTTTTTACTTCCCGAGCGTAAGCAAAGGGAGTACAGTATAACCTCTATAATCCGAAACTTGAAAACATGCACCTACTTGCAAAAGCGACGCAAGATCTTCCCTCTATAGGTAATTTTTTGAAATTTTTAAAAATTGATATTTCAATGCACTGAGTTGATTATCTAATTCTGGAAAAAAGGTTAAAGTTATCGAAGAAATGAGGCCGGAAACGACTTCTGCCCCCGAAATCTACAAGAAAAATGTTTTTGTTAAATTTCGAAAATCGTCGAAAATGGGTCGAAATTTGCCAGTACTTGCCAAATAACCTAACCTCTAAGAAAATAAAAGACCGGTGGGCCAGGCTAGAATTTGCCAAAAATTTTTTGGCAAATGACCTACTCTTCTAAGAAAAGGTACTAGCCCCACCCACCCACCCTTTATTTTCTTTGAAGACTGGGTCATCTGCCAAAATCAGTCTTATTTTAACAAATACTAGCCCCGCCCACCCACCCTTGTTTTCTTAGAGGATATGTCATTTGCAAAATCAGTCTCATACAAAATGAGTCTTATTTTGGCAAATAATAGCTTCACCCACCCTTCTCAGCTCTTCGATTTTTCAACTTTCGAATTCTTCAGTTTCTCGCTTTTTAAATTTTCAGTTTTTTGATAGGTCTTTCGATTTTTGATTTGTCTGGGCAACTGAAAAAAACCTTCGATTTTTTAATTTTACATTTTGGCAGTTTTCCGATTTCTCAATTATTTGATTTTTAAAAATATCGAGAAAATAGATGTTTATTTTTTTAAATTTTCGATTTTTGATTTTTTGTCACCTAGTTTTTGGAAGGAAGTAAAAAGCAATTTTGATCAGCGATTTGCCATGTTTACCGAAACTCTAAAAGATCTGAAAATCTTGTTTCTAATTTTCGATTTTTCAAAATTTCGATTCGAATAAATTTGTTCTTTTAGTTAAAAAATCGAAAAATGACAATCATGAAAAGGAAAAATTTAACTTGAGAACTTGAAAAATCAAAAAATTGGAATTAAAAACTGCAAAATCGTCAAACAAATTATCAAATGAAATAGTCAATACTTGAAAAATCTAAAAACCGAAAAAAATTAAAACTGGAATTTCAAATTCGATTCTATAAGATTTGTTTTTTTTTTTCAATTTTTCGATATTTCACTTTTTGATTTTCCGATTATACAGTTTTACAATTTTCCTATTTCTCATTTATCCGATTTTTCAATTTATCATTTTTGATTTTTAAATTTTTTTATTTTTAGCAAGTGCTAACCCCACCCACCCAGCCTTTATTTTCTTAGAAGAATAAGTCACCTGCCAAAATCAGTCTTATCTTGGGAAGTACTAGCCCCCCGCCCACCCTCCCTTATTTTTTTTTTAGAGAATATGTTTTTTGCAAAAATCAGCCTCATACTTGCCAGGATAAGATTGATAAATTTTACAAGTTTAATAGGGGCAAAATCAGTCTTAACTTAGCAAGTGCTAGCCCCGCCCACACGCCCCCCTATTTTCTCAGAGGAAATGCCATTTGCCAAAGTAAGTTTTACCTTAGCAAGTACTAGCCCCATGCACCCGCCGTCTATTCTCTGAGAGGGTATGATATTTGCCAAAATCAGTCTTATCTTAGCAAATAGTAGGCCCGCCCACCCACCCTCTATTTTCTCAGAGCGTATGACGTTCGGCAAAATCAGTCTTATCTGAGAAAGTACTAGCACCGCCCACCCGCCCCTCTTTTGTCAGAAGATATGCCATTTGCCAAAATAAGACATCCTAGCAAGTACTAGGCAGTACTACCCTGTGAGAAAAAAAGGGCGGGTGTGCGGGACTAGTATTTTCTAAGATAAATCTTATTTTGGCAAATGGCATTTCCTCTGAGAAAATAGGGGGTGGGTGGGCGGGCCTAGTACTCGGTAAGATAA